ACATCTGTCGGGCTGCCTCTGCACAAGCTTCAAACGATGGTCTCGAGTCTTGCAAGGTTCTGACTCGATGCGCTGAACTCACTACCTGACCTCCACCTTTATCCAACAGCCTAGCTACCCGAGCGTCTGTGGGTTGTGCAGTCTGTTGTTTATATATTTTAGACAAGTAAGCAACCTCCCTGTCTCCCCAGATGTTATAGTCCCAACTTGACGGATCCCATCTGTCATCTAGTGCGGCAACAAAAGCTCGCACCTGTTTAGGTGACACACTGCGCCTCTTTTTCTTGAATTTTTCTCGTTTCAACCGGGACACCTGCTCCACCGCCCCTTCACCCACTCTGCTCATTCTCTCAACCTGAGCACTAAGCAATTGAATGTGCTGCTTATTTAACAGGCAGGCAGCCTACACCTCCTCACATTCTTGTTTGCGTGAAAAGAAAAGACAAAGTAAGACTCCAAAATATAAGAAATATACACAAAGAGAGCACACGGCAAAACACCCAGCCACTGTCTGTTCACCTGCAAAGAGCATGACAAAACACATCAACAAAATGCATATGTATAAAGAACTTAAAATATTCATGGCTTTGCAGTAAGTTTCCATAAATATATATACCCATACCTACGCCCATATACATACATACATACACATGAATATACATTCACATACATATCTATATATCTATATATCTACATATAAAGCCTACATAAGCATCCCTGCATCTATTTGTGTGTGGTTGTGAGCATGCATAAGTGTATAAGGCTTCTCTAATAGAACATTTAATAGTAACCGTGAAGCAGCAGAGACCCGACCCCCAAGACCAGAGGCAGACAAAAAAGGGGGGACCAGAGCCCAAGACCCCAGGAGGGACCCCGACCATGGAGCCCCCAGGGCCACCCACACAGGACGAACCACTTCACCCACCCCACAGGGGAGAACCGGAAGATCCTCACCAGCGACCACATGCAGTGACCCCCCAGGGCCAACAGCGACAAACTCATAGGCCCCCGCCGGAATCTGCCGCACCGATGCAGTTCCAGGCCCGGGCACCGAGGCCCGGGCACCGAGGATGCACACCACCCAGGCCAAGGCCTGACAGGGCCAGAGGACCCGAGCCCCACCAGGCAGACATCAGGCCGAGCCGACACACGCCCAAGCGCCCAGCCCCCGACACCAAGGGCCCCAAGCGCGCCCTCAGGCAAGGGCACACCCCACCAGGGGGCCGCGCGATAGGGGCGCGATGCCAAGCACCCCCAGTTGTATCAAAGAGGGGGCAGTCCGAGTCTCAGCCTAACAAATACCCATTCAGACACCATCACACAGTCCCAGTCTCATTCTCACACTCACTCACTCAAAGACATACAATAACGATACATTTCATTCTCATTCCCGATGCGCACTCTATACCCCCCAGGTCCAAGACATGTACCCGCCCTCTACAGGGGGCAGCCCATGTCCAAACCCAGGAGGTAGACCCATTCATTCTCGAGCGGAGAGGAGCCAATATCCCAGACCCGGCCCAGGCCACGCCCAGCCGACAGGACACCCCCCGGCACGAAGAGGTCACGCCACCGACCCCGACACATACACCCCCGCCCCTAGATGTGCTGTTGATGTGTGTTGTTGTATAGTGCCATTAAAACGGAAAGAAGAAGGAGCAAAGGCTGGCATGATGCCAAACCATCTGTGTTCCTTCCTTGAGGGGGGTGAAGGAAGCAATTTATGTAAAAAGAGAAAAGCCGTCTCTTAACAGAGGAGGATGCCTCAGATTTCCTCTTTCAAAAACATATAATGCAACTTTAAAACAGATTCCCAGCCAGTTTTCACACTTGATGGGAACAGAGGGGCCTCGTCTGTGAATTAGATGAACAAAGACCTACTGTTAAGGTGTTTAGGTGTGAACTGCCAATCTACATATGTGTGTGTGTGTATCTTATCTCACTCAGCCTTATAACCTGAACCCCTCACTCTCTGCTCTTTGAATTGAGAAAGCTCCTCGGATGAGGAGCGAAACGTCTTCTGTTACAAATAAAGTCCAGTCGTTTTTGTATTGAACGTTTTTTTGGACTCGGAGTACAGACAGCGGACTCAAGACTTTGTGGACTGGTGCCAGCAGAACCACCTCCTGATCAACGCTGCTTAAACTAAGGAGCTGGTGGTGGATTTCCGCAGGCACAGGTCCACCTCATTGACCCAGGTGAACATCCAGGGAGTGGACATTGAGATTGTGGACTCTTATCAGTACCTGCGTGTTCACCTGAACAATAAACTGGACTGGTCTCACAACACTGATGCACTTTACAGGAAGGGTCAGAGCAGACTCTACCTGCTGAGGAGACTGAGGTCTTTTGGAGTGCTGGGGGTGCTCCTGAAGACCTTCTTTGACTCGGTAGTGGCATCAGCCATCTTCTATGGTGTTGTGTGTTGGAGCAGCAGCTTATCATCAGCTGAGAAGAAGAAGCTAGATAAGCTCATCAAGAAAGCCAGCTCGGTGCTTGGATGCCTCCTCGACCCAGTGCAGGTGGTGGGAGACAGAAGGACTCTAGCTAAAATAACATCATTGCTGGACAATGTCTCCCACCCCATGAAGCTGTTGCTGAACTGGACAGCTCGTTCATTGACAGATTCCTGCATCCTAAATGCACAAAGGAGCGTTACCGCAGGTCCTTCCTCCCAGCAGCTGTTAGACTCTACAACCATCACTGCTCCTAACAAACTCAATAAGGATTAAATACATGCTGACCTCTGCTAAAACACACACTCTGCCCATAATACTGTACTGTCAATAGTCTGTCCTTATCAATGTTCCAATACATCCATCCATCCATCCATCCATTTTCTTTACCCGCTTATTCCATTTTGGGTCACGGGGGTCGCCGGTGCCCATGTCCAGCAATCACTCTGCGAGGGGCGGGGTACACCCTGGACGGGTCTCCAGTCCATCACAGGGACACATAGAGACAAAGGAGACAAACAACCATTCACTCTCTCACACCTAGGGACAATTTAGAGTTACCAATCAGCCTAACATGCATGATTTTGGTCTGTGGGAGGAAACCGGAGTACCTGGGGAAAACCCACGCATGTGTAGTGAACTTGACCTCATGTCAAATCAATGACCTTAGGATCATATGGTCAGAAACTGTCGTTTCATTGATCTGCATCTAGAAGTGCAGGTTGATCGATCCTGGGACTTTCTTTCTTGAATTAATCAAGTGGAAAAGACAATTCTCTATGATCATTACTATTTTACAAATGTTTTGATAATCAAGTGGTGTTAGTTCAAACAATGTTTACATGTTGAAGTGAACTACTCATTTTTATTTACTTAAACAGTGGTAATGATTTTTATTCCTCATTCAAAGAAGAAATCAGGGTAATATGCATTTCTTGATTTTTCTGTATTCAATGAGCAAATTTGTAAGTGTGTTAAAGTTCAGGTTTCGGTCAACTAAGAAGTTTACTGAAAAGAAATGTCATGTTTAACTTTTACAGCAAGATACTGAGTAGAGACTCCACGAAGTCTGGTTTTCTCCAATAATCTTTCTGTCTGTTTTAAACAATCTTAATCTCTATCCTTGACTTTCCATAACACCTTACATCACAAACCACACCTCTGTTCTGGTCCATCCACGAATCAGAAAGCTCTCAAATGAACCGGAAGTATAGCCCGTTTAAATGTGGCGACTTCCCAGTTCAACATGGGGGAGTTTTCAGAGTTTTTCAGAGTTGAGATGAGAGGAGTTCCAGAGTTTCCTGGAGAAGAGTTCCAGAGTTCAACTCTCTGAAGAGAGTTAAAGAGTTTGGGAGTTCTTGAATGCAAACGCAGGCATTCAGGATGCTTCTACTAGAATCAAGCTGAACCAGAGACGATTTTGGGAATTATAACTTCTGTTTGGATAACCTCACACGACTCCTAAGGGTTCTTAGCTGTCCTCACGGAGACGCTGAAAAGAGTCAAAAGGAGAACTCTACACCGACGCTGATTCTATCATCTGCAAGGTAAAAGTTCTATTTCGACCAAGCGTACCGTTGGCCAAGCTGATTTTCAATGGAGCGTGCTGTTCTGGTTAAACAAATAAATTCCCTCACACATCTCTCTGTAAGATAAATCTTAATTTTCCATCTTCAAACTCTCCTTTCTGCTAGAAAATTAATCCAGATGTTTTCATTAATGTCTGTGGTGAAGCAACGGAAAATCATGGCCGTATGGTTTTCCTGGTTGTAAAACTGATTAATTGATGTCTGCCGTTTTAGCTGAAAAGTGAAAACAATCGCCGTATTGTTCTCACTTCCTGTAAAACTATGCTGTTATTTTCATATTTTGCCAAATTAATGTAAATGTTTGATGTTAATCTTTGATTCTGTAAATAAATGACCGCATTCATTTTGATGGGTCAAAGATAAATGACGTCTCTCGTTACATTTCTGTTAAATTCAATGCACGACATTTACACAGTCCAGAAAAATGAAGAACCCGTTTAATGTATGAATATATCTCAGCATATGTCATACTACACATGCACGGAGAGAACATGCAAACTCCACCCAGAAAGGCCCCTGGACCGGGGTTTGAACCAAGGACCTGCTCGCTGAGAGGCAGCAGCTCTACCAGTTGCGCCACCGTGCTGCTGTTCCAATACATATTGAACATTATTATTGATATTGTTTATCTTATTTCTTTATATATTGTAGTGTTTATTAACATTTAGGAACTTTTGTGTGAAATCGTTTTATCTGTTGCTGCTGTTGCACTTGCATTTTGTTTTTTGAGAGTGACCTTCAACACGTTCTCTGAGAACTAACGCATCTCACATACAAGACTCTGCATATTGCCATTTACAAGGTTTGACCAAAACAGTGATGGTTATCTTTCACCACCAGATGGTCTTAGTCTGAAACTTCAAAGAGTGCCAGGATTTTATGTTTTTTCATCTAGTTTTTAGTTTTTATAAACATTTATTATACAAGAAGTAAAACTGTACTTTCTCTCTACCAGCCTTATTGACTCACTGAAATTCTGGAGGACCCGCTTCTTGTTGCTGCCAGCTGGTGGGGCTCGGCGGATGGCGGATGGGGAGGGTCACTGGGACGTGTACGGTGAGGGTGTTGGAATGGGGGCCTGCGGAGACTGGGTTTTGTTGGACGGCTTCATTCGCTTCTTGGAGGGCCTGAACCGCATACGACGACGACATCGCTCTGACAGAATCATCAGGGTGAGGCTGACATTTTTTGCTTGTTCTCATGTTTTGATGAGATTTTTCTGTGCTGCTGCTAATCATAACATTTACTTCAGCATCTTAGCATCCGTCCTTCTGGTGGTAGTTAAACATGTTTTACTTCAAAAACACACATTTTGTTTGTGATTTTATCAATGGTCTTCCTTATGTTTCTTGTAGCAGAAGGGCACAGCAATTAAAGGACTGCAAGTTACCAGTCCTCTTCCTCCCTACCCAACAGAGACTGTAGTGCCATCACAAGGAAAGAGGATCACATCAGCTTTGTCAGCTCTGCTAGAAATGGAACAGAACCAGAAGTGAGTGTCCTTATGGACCAGAACATGTTGGTAACGCCGAAGCAGTGCATTTCAATCCTGATGAATTCTTTCAAGACCATGTTCAGACCGACAGAGCTCCTGACTAATTGTCCCTCATCGCTGAGCGAAAAGGGGTAATAGGAAATACTGTCCATCTGTCTGCCCATCCCTGCATGTTGTGAGCATGATAACTTGAAAAATAAGTGAGATACTGACTTCCATTTGAGTAAGTGGCTGCATCTAGGTGCAAGAAAGGTAATTATCAAAAATTGGTTTGCCAGTTTAGACTCCAAGATGGCTGTAACCATATACAGTTGTGCTTGAGTGTTGGTGAACCCTTTAGAATGTTCTATATTTCTGCATAAATATGACCTAAAACATCTTCATATTTTCACAAAAGTCCTAAAAGTAGATAAAGCTGCTAATCCCAGAGGTTCACATATTTTTGCCACTCATAAATATGTAATATTGGATCATTTTCATCAATAAATAAATAAGTATAATATTTTGCCTCATTTGTATAACTGGGTTCTCTTTATCTACTTTTAGGACTTGTGTGAAAATCTGATGTTTTAGGCCATGTTTATGCAGAAATATAAAAACTTATTACAAGATCACAAACTTTCAAGCACCACTGTGTATAAACTTTATGAGCTGGGTATCTTCAAAAATAAGCAACATACTGACTTCAATTTTGCAAAAATTGCCACATAAAAATTATTTCTAGTTTAATATTGCTTAAAAGTATAGTTCCCTTAAATGATTGGTGTAGCCAAATATTACAGGTAAGATATTGGGGGCCAATGCCACCATTGGCCACCCCTTGGCTCCACCATTGCTCCTGGTGGGGGATAAAATTGCTCCTTCCACTTGCCAGGATTCGTCACTGTGTCGCATTGGGGGGGGGGGGGGGGGGGGACACTAATCTGTTACCCCTACCTACTCAAGTATCTTACACCAAAAACATTCAGGTTTACTTTGATTGCCTGTTCAATACCCATCCAGAAAAACACTCATCTCCAAAACTACAAACAATCACTATTCAGTTCAATTCTAATTAACAGCTAATTAAAATTAGTGAGACATCCACCGAGGAGCAGACCCTGGTTAATGGCAGCTCCATAGTCTGAAACGTGTCACCTGCAACTCAAACCACAGTCAAATGCATTCTATATCTAATCTAACTTTCATCTCAAAAATTCTAGAGACAATAGTTGCAGGTCAGTTGCGTGAACATCTACAAAGAAATAATCTGTTTGAAGAGTTTCAGTCAGGGTTTAGAGCTCATCATAGCACAGAAACAGCACTAGTAAAAGTCACTAATGATATTCTCATGGCCTCAGACAATGGACTTGTGTCTCTACTGGTCCTGTTAGACCTCAGTGCTGCATTTGATACAGTTGATCACAATATTTTACTACGGAGGCTTGAATATGATGTTGGGATTACAGGACAAACACAACATGGAATCAAAACCCGATCGTATTGGAGCAGAATACCAATTAGAAAGTCAGAGAGTTCATTTAAAAACTGTTTATGGTATCCGGGGGGTCTGTAAAAAATAGCACACAGAACTGGGTTGGAGCGGCCCAGCTCACAACAGAGCAGTTCAAAACTCGAATAATTAGCTGAACCATGGAGCTGTCTGCAGTGGAAATGTTTCTTAAAAACAGCCAATAATCCTCCACCACGACCAGCTGTCCTTGGAGCATTGAAAAAAGAACAATCCGGAGTCAGTAAATCAAGAAAAACACTGAACTCACCAGGGAAGACACAAGTCTCAGTGATGAAAAGAAAGTCCAGTTGGTTGCAGCAGAAAAAGTCGTTCAAATTTAAAGTTTTATTAGCCAGCGATCTGGCATTTATCAGGGCCATCATCGTAGAATCCACCACAGGAGGAGATGGTTGCAGTGTCCAGTCCAGCGGCCTCAGATTTGCAGAGTTAGACACGCACCTCCGGCAGGAAACCCAGCCGCGCACGGGCCCAGTGTGATGATGAGACCCCGACAGCGGGACCAGACAGCACGCCACAGGATCTGCACAGCCCAGGAGCGGAGGTGGAAATGTTGACCATCACCTGGAGAGGATGATTCAGAGGCAGCAAGCAGGGCTTTAAGCTTCACCAGCCGGCCAGCGCGTTTTCCACGGTGTCTGGAGCGATGTCTCAGGGGAGGCAGGTGCGCGGCTCGCTGCAGGTAAGCAGGCACGTCCGCCAGCAGCAGGGGGGCACGCGCGCGCGCGGGGGGGTCCAGACTTATGCTCATATTGATTAAAATAAGCGACGTTGGTGGCACAAAGTCGAAGATCCAAAAGTTGTTGTCGTTCGTACACCAGCAGAGCGTTGATGTCACAGATGAGAAATGAAAAAAACACCAATAATATGAACACCATCAGCAGAGGTGGATTGCAAGCCATGTACACAAGCGCCAGCTTGATAGGACAATTCTCAATATGACATTCCTGGCATTAAAATGTGTGGAGGTTTCAGATTGCACTTAGCCACTCTACATATGAATAAATGTGTATCCTTGCCACACAGTTGTCTGTCAGTGAGCAACAAACAGAAACATCAGCAGGTCACAGTCAGTCATAAATACAGTTCAGAATCAAACATAAAATAAAGTTGTTTGCCTAATGTATGCAATATGTGAGAACAAAAGAACATTTGTGACTTGATAGAACTCTGTCAAGACAAAACATTGAAGATTTGAACGTGTAAAATTCACCAACACTGAAAAAAGCCCCCGGTGCGCTGCCATTTGTCAGATTTGCTATGAGCTAACACACGTGGCAATATATTGAGAACTATATTGCAAGTTGTCTGGTTGCCCGATTAGAGCTGTGTACCTCTTAACAAGAGGCACGCCTATATCCTCTGTCACTGAGAGATTGGGATAGTGAATATTTGTAGTTTTCAAGAGTGTTTTTCTGGACTAGATTTGGCTGTGGCAACCCAATTTTCGATAAGGACCTTTCTTACGCCTAGATGTAGCCACATACCAAAACAGAAGTCGATACGTTGCTTATTTGGGGGGACAAGATGGGGTAGACGTAGGGCAGCCAACTCGGGACCTTAAACTCTCAGCCTCGATCCACAGCCATTCCCACATGTCGTGGTGTCTCTTAGCAAGACACCTAATCCCTAATTGCACCCCGGGCACTTACATAGCTGCACCTGAGTGCATCCCAGGTGTGATGGGTTAAATGCAGAGAACTACTTTTGCCATTGTATGGAAAATACAATGATGACAACACCTATCACTTTATTTTCAAGCTATGCTCACAACATGCAAGGACTGACGGACGGTTGGTAGGTAGGTATTTCCAATTCTCTGTACTTGTTCTGCAACGGGAAACATAATACATGAGCAAAAATACTATGATGTTGAGTAGAATACTCTTAGGTTTTATGACATACCATACAGTTTTTTTTATTTGTAAGATTTACATAAATCTTAATAATAAGTTATACTATTCTTGCTTTTATCTTAATGAAGTCATTGGTGGGCTGGATTGATCTCACTCGTGGGCCGCCAGTTGAATAGTCCTGTCCTACATTGTGGCTCAGACTACCAAAAAGTACAGATGAAAGTAATCTGGTACACAGGATCTTCAGAGGTGGTCTGAGTCAAGTATACTGAGAGTTTAGCGTCATCCAAGTGTGATTAGATTGATCAGGATGAACATTAATGCCAGCTCCAAACTGTTTCCCCTCAGGACTTTGGAGGAACAGCAGCAGCAACAGTCCAAACCCTCAGCAGCTGGAAGCGACCTGTCAAGTGTTGCTACAGCACCCACCTTCGTAGACAGTCCACGCAAGGTGAGAGCTTAACTGTGGTCACAACACGTTGTATAACGTTAGACTTGTAGCTTTACAAAGTCATCTGATTTTATATTTGCTTTGATTAAATACATCATTTGTTGAATTAGCTTCTATTTGCTAGTTTCTGGTGTGGGACTTCTGTTGTCTTTGTTTTTGCTTTTTCTGCCATCTTTTCTGTCCTTTTTGCTGAGATGTGGCTGTTTGATCTGGGGTTTTGTTCTTCCTGAATGCTATCAGGATGCTGCCTTTATTCTGGATTTTATTCGTAGCCCTTGCTCCTCCAACATCGGTCACTTTCAGGTCAGTAACAGGAGCTGCAGAGTTGGCTGAATCTAGACACAGACAAGTGTGTTGGTACCCTTACAGCTCAATGAAGCAATGCTTCAACTTTCATATGAATTCGTTTTATTATCTAACATGCATCTGCATTGTTTAGTACGTGGTGGAGTGAGTAAATATTATTTGTAAATTTAGTGAACAAACAATTGCTTTGTTTATTTTGCAAAGATATGCTAAAATATGGTAAATAAATGGACTGTACTTATATATCACCTTCCTCTTATTTCAAGATACTCAAAGCTCTTTACAACAATCTGTGCCTCATTGACCCATTCATATAGCTCTATACTAGATCTCTACAAAGATAATTGAACAAATCATTCTAAAGAGACTAATCAGAGCTTTATCACATTCGTACACCGATGGGACACACATCAGAGGCAATGGGGGGTTCAGTGTCTTGCCCAGGGACACTTTGACATGTAACTGCTGGTGGATTCAAACCCCCAACTCACGCATTGAAGGACGACCGCTCTAACCAGTCAGCCACAGCCGCCCCAAATACTGTGGACAGATTTGTTGGCACCCTTAAAGAGACTAAAATCACTGCATTCTAGTCATGTTTCAAACAAAGGCCCTGTTTCCACATGAACAGTCTCCGGAAACATCCCAGCAGTCAGGTCCTCTGGATGGTTTCTGTGGATTGCAGTGCTTCTCAATTAGTTTCTGTTATGGTCCCCCAGGAAGACGTAAACATGTCGCGCCCCCCAATTCTTCACAGTGACTGTAAATAGTATAATTTGTCTATAAATTTGTTATAAGTACACCTCTGCATAACATTGTGTCCTTATTAACATTAAATAAATTTTAAAAAGAATATAGATCAACTTCCAACAAAGAGTCTGTAACAGAAACAACGTAAAGTGCATCAATTTGTCTGAAATTAAAAAATATATACATCCTTATTTAAACTGTAAATATTTTTGACCATTTGATACTGAACAATAAAATATAATCAATAAATAATAATAAAATCAAATTGATCAGCAACATTTTAACTCAGAAGTGTTATATAAAACACTTTGACCTACAAAACAAAAATTAATAAAACAATTTGTGCAGATTTTTTAAAAATCAAAATGAGGAAGAATGCCCATAGCCCTCTGCCCTAACAGTGGATACTGCCTCTCTACACTCAGCCAGAATTCACTCAGTGTCTGTGATGTGAACCTCAGTCCCAATGTGAAGTCAGACGTCATATCAATGAACTGGTCCTCTGCAGAACTGAAACCAGTTGGAGCTGGTGCATTGAAGGGATCTCTCACCCAGTCATACTGGGAACTGTCTTCAGGGAATGTAAAAAAAGTTAAATCTGGTCCTCTGGACATTAAAAACAAAAAAAAAACAATGTAGAAACGTTTTGTCTTTCATCCGAAAGACTTCCTCAGTGTGAGGTGCTGTATTCAGCTCAGTCTTATAAATAGCACCGTCTCAGAGTGGATCAACCAGTTTGCTGCTAACAACCAAAACCAGCTGATCACATGCTCAAGAAGGACCATCAACCTAACAATGGATCATTAGCACACTGATGGCTGTTTACTGTTCACAGGGGGCTGAGTGATACTAGCAATCACAGCATTGTAAGAGGGGGACAGTTGAACCCGGAGGCCTCCACCCCTGTTTAATGATGAATGATTTCTTTTCACAAATATGGCCTCCTTTACTCCTTCTCAAACCATTGTTCCTCTCTATCCAGGATGTCCATCCATCCATCCATTTTCTTCCACTTATCTGGGGTCGGGTCGCGGGGGTAGCAGCTTAAGTAGGGAGGCCCAGACTTCCCTCTCCCCAGCCACTTGATCCAGCTCCTCCGGGGGAATCCTGAGGCATTCCCAGGCCAGCCGAGAAACATAGTCCCTCCAGTGTGTCCTGGGTCTTCCTCTGGGTCTTCTCCCGGTGGGACATGTCCGCAACACCTCACCAGGGAGGCATCCAGGAGGCATCCTAACCAGATGCCCAAGCCACCTCAACTGGCTTTTCTCGATGTGGAGAAGCAGCGGCTCTACTCTGAGTCCCTCCCGAATGACCGAGTTTCTCACCCTATCTCTAAGGGAGAGCCCAGACACCCTGCAGAGAGAACTAATTTCAGCCGCTTGTATCCGAGATCTCGTTCTTTCGGTCACAACCCAAAGCTCATGACCATAGATGTGAGTAGGAATGTAGATCGATCAGTAAAATGAGAGTTTCGCCTTTTGACTCAGCTCTCTCTTCACCACGACAGACCTGTACAGCGCCCGCTTCACTGCAGACGCTGCACCTATCCGCCTATCGATCTCACGCTCCATTTTTCCCTCATTCATGAACAAGACCCCAAGATACTTGAACTCCTCCACTTGGGGTAGGACCTCCTCCCTGACCCGTAGAGGGCACTCTACCCTTTTCCGGCTCAAGACCATGGGCTCGGATGTTTGGAGGAACTGATCCTCATACCGGCCGTGCCGCACTCGGCTGCGAACCGCTCCTGCGAAAGCTGTAGATCACGATTTGATGAAGCCAATAGGACCACATCATCTGCAAAAAGCAGAGACGCAATCCTAAGGCCACCAAAACGGATCAACTCAACACCTTGGCTGCGCCTAGAAATTCTGTCCATAAAAGTTATGAACAGAATCGGTGACAAAGGGCAACCTTGGCTGAGTCCAACTCTCACCGGTAACAAGCCCAACTTACTGCCGGCGATGCGGACCAGGCTCTGACACCGGTCATACAGGGACCTAACAGCCCGTATCAAAGGGCCCGGTATCCCATACTCCCAGAGTACCCCCCACAGGGTTCCCCAAGGGACGCGGTCGAACGCCTTCTCCAAGTCCACAAAGCACATCTAGACCGGTTGGGCAAACTCCCACGCACCCTCCAGGACCCTGCTGAGAGTGTAGAGCTGGTCCAGTGTTCCATGACCAGGATGAAAACCGCACTGCTCCTCCTGAATCCGAGGTTCGACTATCTGACGGACCCTCCTCTCCAGAACCCCCGAATAGACCTTACCAGGGAGGCTTAAGAGCGTGATTCCCGTGTAGTTGGAACACACTCTACGGTCCCCCTTTTTGAATAGGGGGACCACCACCCCGGTCTGCCAATCCAGGAGAACTTCCCCCCATGTCCACGCAATATTGTAGAGTCGTGTAAGCCAACACAACCCTACAACATCCAGAGCCTTAAGGAACTCTGGGCGAATCTCATCCACCCCTGGGGCCCTGCCACCGAGGAGCTTTTTAACCACCTCGGTGAATCTCAGCACCAGAGATTGGAGGGCCCAACCCAGAGTCCCCAGGTTCCGCTTCCTCAGTGGAAGACGTGCCGGTGGGATTGAGGAGGTCTTCAAAGTATTCCGCCAACCGACCCACGACATCCCGAGTTGAGGTCAGCAGCACACCACCCCCACTATAAACAGTGTTGGTGGTGTACCGGTTTCCCCCCCCCGAGACGCCGGATGGTGGACCAGAATCGCCTTGAAGCCGTGCGGAAGTCATTCTCCATGGCCTCTCCAAACTCCTCCCATGCCCGAGTTTTTGCTAACAAGTCCTCCTCTCTGGACGCATTTCACTCACAGTATGCAGCAAGAAAGAGTATAAACTCAAAGCGAGAGCGACACCTGCCCCCTCTTTCTTCTTTCACGTTGACAACATTATTTAGTTTTATCGATTGTCAAAGCACAAGTTTGATGTTTTTAAATTTGTTATAAAAACAGATGTTTAACAAATGTTAGGACTCTATTTTTTGCTAACAAAATATATTTTGTCATTAAACAACTTGTCAGGTTTTTCTCTTGTGAGCACGTTCCCCTGGACCCCCCAGCCAGCTCGCTCACTCTTGCGCTCTTTGCAGCTTATCTGCAGCTGCAGGATCATGTTTCAAACTGTGCTTCAAAAAGCTGTGCACTGCAAAACGTGCTCATTGTAGCCATTAAACCTGACTTCCTCAGTTTGATTAAAAAAAATCAGCACAAATTATTTTATTCATTTTTGTTTTGTAGGTCAAAGTGTTGTATATAACACTCCTGACTTAAAATGTTGCTGATCAATTTGAATTTATTATTATTTATTGATTGTATTTAATTTGATTGTTCAGTATCAAATGATCAAAAAAAAATTACAGTTTAAATAAGGATTTTTTATTTATATTTTTTCAGGCAAATTGATACACTTTATGCCTTTTCTGTTCAAGACTATAAAACAATGTTAATAATCTTTGTTGTAAATTGATCTATATTTCTTAAAAGGGTTTATCTAATGTTTATAAGGGTACAATGTTATGCAGAGGTGTCCTTATAACAATTTTATAGACAAATGATACTATTTACAGTCGCGGAGGAGAGTTGGGGTGGGGGGCCACGAAATGTTTACAGGGACGTAACAGAAAATAATTGAGAAGCACTGTCCTAGCTCCTGTCTTGTGTGGGATTTCTCCTTCTGCCTGGCTCCTGAGTTAGTGGGGACGCTGTCTGCTCTGTGATACAGAGTCCTGATGACTCCTAACTTGTGCTCCAAAGGTTGATGGGAGTCAAACTGCAAATACTGGTCTGTGTGGGTGGGTTTGCGGTACACCTCAGTTTGCAAATGTCCTCTATCAGAGACTGAGACCTCACAGTCCAAGAAAGCCAACTTGCCATGTTTTTCATCTTCTCGTGTGAACTTGATGTATTTATCCACAGAGTTGATGTGATCAGTAAAATGTTGGACTTCCTGAGATTTTATTTTAACCCAGGTGTCCAACATCAATAGAAAGGAGAGGGATGCACTCACCACTCTTAGCAAGGACAAAAACACCATCATTCTCCCGGCAGACAAAGGAATGTGCACAGTGATTTTGAACCAGAAAGACTATCATGAGAAAGTTATGACACTTCTTAGTGACTTAATTATGAACCTCTGAAAAGAGATCCAGGAAGTGGTTACAAGAAGAAGTTAATAAATTGCCTGAAAATTTTGGAACAGGACAAGGCTATTGACCGTTTTCTGTACCACAGACTGTACCCAGGGGAGGCCACACTTAGTCTGTATGGTTTACCTAAAATCCACAAACAAGGTGTACCTTTAAAACCAATTGTTAGCATGATTAACTCTGTCACTTACAATGTTTCCAAATATCTGGCGTCTGTACTCATCCCT